TTAACATGAGCGTCATCAGCGTCACTGATAAAGAAAACTAAATAAAAACTACAATTTGATCGATGACAATAAAATTATCTGAGATAAAACAAAGGGTTGATCACAAGTGCAGCTAATGACCGCTAGAGTGCCGCTAAAGGGAAAACCTGTGTCAACAATGGCTACAAAAATGTCATATATATTGCTGACGATATTTTTGTTGCTGTCAGTGTTGGCACCTTCAATGACATCTACACTGCCACTAGTAGATGCAACACAGCCACTAGAAGACGAAACTCATTTAGTAGTGGATGCAACACCACCACGAGTGAGAACTTCTACGTCACCTGCAGTAGCAGCATTACCACTAGTGGAAGCAACTCTACCACTATCAAGAACTACCGAGTCGTCTACCAGAGCAGCGATAACACTAGTGGAAAGAACCCAGCCACTAGTAAAAACTACTGTGTCATCTACCGCAGCAGATGTACAACTCGTGGAAACAACTCAGTCACTAGTAAGAACTACTGTGTCACCTACCGGAGCAGCAGTACCACTAGTGGATACACTGCCTCTAGTGGCAGCTAAAGAGCCACCAGTTTCCACAGTGCCATCGAAGAGCCCCTCAATCTTATCAAAGTTTGAGACATTGAAACCGCCGCTTATGATGACCATCCCTACAACGACGGAGGCAACAAGCTTCGTTGATGAGGATCTGTCGAAATCCAGCCTGACAACGCCTGACTTCAGCCATCTTAGATTGGCAACAATTTCAACTGTGAACGAATTGTCAACGGTTAGACTAGATGAATATTTCACACGTAAGTCTTCACATGGAGCCTTCAAAAACCGAACTATGGCAACCAGGAATGTGGCAAAAATGAAGGTACGAAAAAACACTGAACAACTGCAATTTTTAAACACCATTTCATCAGCGAATAATGAAGAGAAGACGACGACGGAAAAATCTGCAAATGAATTACAAAAAGTGGCTGGAACTGAGCGGGAAAAAAGAATGGGATCAGCTCAGAGGAGCAACGTAGCAACGGTGAGCAGAACTGCACTAGCGCACTTCAATCAAACAAAAACAATTTCAATTGAAACGAAAAAAACATTAGTTTCATCTACTTCCGAAATAACGATCTCTGCGGGTCTGATCAACCCGGGGGACTCAATAACAATCACATCGACTGCACTCGCATCCGCGGCACCTAAAATAATAGAATTTGACGAAGCAAATACAAGAGCTGCAGATTTGAAATTCGTCAAAACAGTAACACCGACAGAATTCGGTAGAACAACAACATTGGAAACAAAACCCCTCGCGTCTTCATCAAGAAAAAGAGAACACAGCAACTCCACTGCAGGTTTCCAATCCCAACAAACGGACTGGAATGTCCTAGAAACAACATCCGCTGCCCGCGGAATTCTTAAAAAGCTACTTTGGAATCGCCAGGAACGTCCGCCCAAATTCCAATCGGGAACAACGCAAGAAGATACGGCACTGGGAATCTCCTCTGATGAATTACACAAACAGCTTGGGAATCTATTATTCCAGACAGCAATTGAGGTTGGAATGCCAGCGGACAAAAAAACGAGCGGGAAATTCATGCGCGAAATTCCCTTGGATCGTGAATCTGAAAAGAAAAAAATCCGATCACATGAGGACGCTATTCGCAAGCGAGCAAATATTCCCTTGCCAGTAGGTTATTTTACGATTCCTACGCAACGGAATGATTCCAAATTTCTTATTAAATGTGATAATTTGAGGGTTCATATGAAAAATTCTTCGCTAAGTTACAATCAATCAGAAATTGTGCAAGCTGAGAGGGATTTGCTAGATATGCGAGATTTATCATCACGAAATAACGATTTAGCATCACACGGTGTCCATATATTATCACATGGAGATGATTTATCGTCACAAAGTAACGATCTATCATCGCAAAACGACGATCCATCATCACAAGATGGCCATCTATCATCGCGAGGTGACGATCTATCATCGCGAGGTTACGATTCATCGTCACAAGATGACGATCTTGCATCACAAAGTGACTATCCATCATCACAAGGTGACGATCCATCATCACAAGGTGACGATCCATCATCACAAGGTAACGATCTATCATTACAAGGTTACGATTCATCAGCACATGATAGCGATCTATTATCGCAAGGTGACGATCCATCATCACAAGATGGCGATCTATCATCGCAAGGTGACGATTTATCCAATTTTCCTCGTATGTTATTCCCATCGACAAAGAATTCTCTGTCGCGACTTGCAGAAAAAGGTGACAGAGCGACAATAGCTGCGACGTTGACAGATGGCAAGTCTCTGTCTCTATTGGCAACGCAATTGACAGGGAACTCGAAGACGGCTTTAGTGATGGAAAAAGACGGTGACATGCTCAGAAAAAATCTGTCCCTGAAAAAATACGGAGTAAACACTCGACACTCTCTCTCGCAAGAGGAATTTGAGGATGAAAACTTTATCAATAAACCCCGGCATTCATCTGAACTGTCTTCTGCAGTTAGAATAAATCCTTATAAATTAGTTTTAGACTCGAAAACTTACATGAATAACTCTTCTAAACAACCAAATAAGCCAAAACTCTCACACAAATCGAGAGGAAGAGATTTAAATTCAAATGAATTTACAAATAATTTCTCATCCAATTCAGAGCAGCAACAAGAATCCTCGCCAAAATTAAGACGTTACGAAGAAAACTCCCGCACTGCATCGGCTGCCTCGGTGCTCGGCTCATCCATCAACGAGGTATGGACTGATCCTCCGATATCGTCGCAGCGAAAACATCTGCGTTTTTCTTCTATGAAAACAACGAAGGCAAACTATGCTGTACCGAGACACCTTTTAGGCACCTCGTTGGAGGTCCCTAAAAGGACGAGGTGCCCAGATAACAGCCTTAATTATGGCGGTGTTGGACAACAAGTCCAACACCCATGGTTGACAGACAAGAGGGTACATCATGTACAACAGCCATTACAACGGGTGCAAAATGCGCACAAACGTGCACCAGAGTTCCAGGAGCGTGTACATCATGTAGAGCACAACAGTACACGCTGGTCCCGTCAACAGAGTTTGTACGAGCCTCTTCTCAACCTGAGACGCTCGGCCAGGAATGTCTACGAAACGTCTGGGACCTACGGAGCGCCAGGTGAGTGCTTTAAAAAAGTATACATTCTCAACATATGTCGTTTTATTCAAGAGAATTTAGAAATTCTGATCGAGTGGTAAATTGCTGGCGCCTAATTCTTTTATTATTAAATTCGATGAAATCTAAATTCAGAGAACTATTCCGCCATAGGATCAGAAATTGAGGCATGGGATGAGAACCTTCAATAATTTAAGAAAAATATTAAATGAAATCGGCAGCCTTCTGTTTCCTATTCACCGGGTGCTCATGAGACGGTTTAGAATATCCTTAAATTTCTAATGCAGCTCATAACGTAGGGGCTCGGGCGCTTCTTCTTACTTCCTATGAAATGAGTGAGCTGAGTGCGGCAAAAATCCCTGCTCGCCGGCCATTATTACGACAGTGCTTCACTTGAGGGTCTAATTCCCCTCTGCATGATCCTTGTGAGGGGAAAAAGAGGGCAGCGCAACCCAGATATATTGTTGGGTTGAGGAGTGGAAAGACCGCCGGAGATAATATCTGTAGATCATATTTTAATGATGTATATTGTCTACATTTTAATTATGTATTCATTTGACTGCTCAGTCAATATGCCGTGCAAGGGAAGGAATGAGGTTCAGGGGCTTGACTTTCTAGAAAGGATTTAAAATTTTCAGCTGCCGGTGAATTATTATGCATCTAATTTTATTGTGCTATGAAAAGATATTTCACCACTTTAAGAAATTCGTTAACATCTGAACGCATTGGAGCCATCAGAGAATTATGTTGACTCCTCACATTGTAAAGAGTTTAGCTGTACCGTTCAAACGTGATAAGTTTTCTAAAACTCTTTAGCAAACACGATAACAATAATAATAACACGAATTGTAGCAGCAATTGTAGAATTAATGATTACTTAGCACGCAATACTCATGTATAGCCGCACACGTTCAATAATAAGTTACTCGTCACACCAGTTAACTGCTAAGCTGTTCAACACGTCTTCAGTAAATTGCAATCATCATCAAATGTTTTCAATTTTGCTTTGTTGATAGTAATAACCACATTTTTTCGTAACCTATTTATAAAAGATAAGTAAATCAATATATTTTGCTAGTGTAAAGGACAGAAAAACTGTAATGTAGTGGGTTCACAAGTGATAAGCTATTCTCGTACGTTAGTTCAAATTCATTTCAATCAAGTGTCTTCATTCATATCAATCGCTAATACTCTATAACCAGCTTGCAAAAAACTACCGTGTCCAAGAAAAAATATAAACCGGTTAAACAAACTTAGTGAAAGCCAGTTGCTCAGTTGACAAAAAATTATTTTAGTTTTACAACAAAACAGCCACTTCAGCCCGTTCCATGTTACTTACAACGCGTTACACAGAGCAAGAAGCTCAACGAACGCTGCTTCCCTGATAACAGCCTGCAAAAATCTTTATTTCCTAAGCGCGATTGCAGCCCAAAAAACGTTATCTTGCTGAGCGTTTCCTTGTGTTTGCTCTTGTTGCTCTATCCTACGGCGTCGTCTTGAGAGGATTATCGTGGCCAATGGATGGCCAACGGTTGGCCATGAATGTTTAGTGAATAATTCTTTAACTCTCCAGCCATCATTACTGCTATGTTTAAACATTGTGCCTTAACTATATTAATTATATATATAGCTTCTCACAATCAGTAAAGAATATTGTAAGCGTACGAATCTCCATTAAATTTTAGTATTTAAAGACTGAGTCGCACAAAGGATGATAAATAATTTGACCATCAGTTTTCTTGAAATTGTATTGCATTTTCATGTAATTTATATTTTCAGGTAGTCACCCAAACGTTATTTGACGGTCGAGATAAATATCTAAAATAAATTTCAGAAGGGGCAGACACTGCGAGCTTGACGGCGGTGGAAGGAGAAGCTGTGGTGGTGCCCTGCAGGACTACCAAGTTTGTCCCTCCTGGAGGATCCTTCGCCTTCTCCTCGGTTGGAGTAGGAATTTCGTGGACTAAAGATGGCGAAGCGATCAAGTTTTCCAAAAAGTAAGTAAAAGTGGAGAATATTATTTTGAATAAACATGCTCCCATATAAGTTAATGCCCATTTTTTCCAACCCAAATAACTGTTGACCTTTTAACAATGTCAAAATTGTGACCCATGTAATACTGCGAAGTCTACGGATTTTAGTACCATTATTTAAGTAACTTTGTTGTATCGTCTCGCATGTAATTGATCGGTATTCGCTTTTTATAATATTTTAAGCGTGAAATGCATTACAATTGTGTATTTATGTTTCCAATAGTTCATGCATCTATGAATGCACTTGTCTATGTTAAACACGTGCGTATGTATTGATGTGTCGTTAAAACACGCTAAAATACAGCCATATGTCTGCATTACACGTGAACATATATATGTGAATATTTAATTAAATTAGCATATTTTTTATTAAATCGACTGTCTGGTTAGTTAATTTTGAGATTTGAACTAAAATACCAAAAATTATTTATATTTCACGATGATTTTTTTCAGATTCGAGTCTCTGGCCAACGGGAGCCTTTTAACATCTGAACGCATTGGAGCCATCAGAGAATTATTTTGACTCCTCACATTGTAAAAAGTTTTGCTGTACCGCAAGCCTCATATGTTTTAACTGTGTCTTAAAAACACATCATTTCCGATATAAACTTACGCAATCATAATTTTTTTTCATATATATACATAAGTTCTACAGTTTTCTGATACAGAATAATTTTCATTTTTCTGAGTATGTTTTGCATCTGCCATTTGGTATTAATTTAAGCAATCATAATTTTTTATATATAAACTAGTTTTTACCGTTTTCTGAAACAGAATAATTTTCATTTTCTTAATTTTGTTTTGCATCTGCCATTTGTTATCTATTACAGCGTATGAGTGGTTGCCAAAAAGGTGAGATTTATAATAACAAAACGATAAAGTTTTGAGAAGTTGCCTTATATTTTTCTGCTCACATGTCCTCATGTGTAGATGACATCATTGAGCACTAATGCGGCACCAAGATAACAAACACGATAACAAGCGCGATAACGAGCATCATTACGAACATGAAAACGAATTCGATAACGAACATTATTACAAACACTAAAACATGCACGATAACAATCATTATTACAAACACGATAGCAAGCATCATTACAAGCATTACAACAAGCACGATAACATAGAGTTTAATAAACACCATAAACAAAACGATACAAGTATTATAACAAACACAATCGCAAAACGCGATACGAGTATTATAGCACACTATCTCAAACGCGATAAGTTTTCTAAAACTCTTTAGCAAACACGATAACAATAATAATAACACGAATTGTAGCAGCAATTGTAGAATTAATGATTACTTAGCACGCAATACTCATGTATAGCCGCACACGTTCCTGTCTCTTATACACATCTAGATGTGTATAAGAGACAGCCTTTAACGTTTTTTTACTTGGACAAGTGGGATTTTGTGGACTTTGTACTGGAAAACATTTGAAATCACAGACCGCGTGACTGCTCTCGCAAGCGACATCAATTGACTTTGAAGACTCAATGTTAACCGAACAATAGAGACATTCCTCTCAACACAAAATCGTTCCTAAAATCTTCTAATCCTGAATGGAAGACAGTGAAGTAGTTTCCTAGTTTCTCTAAATGAAGTCATTGAAGCAATGAAGCAACAAATGATATAATCGTGAGTATCATTGTTGAAATTTTCGTCGCATTTTGTGACGACATGCCTCGGTTGGTTGAAACGTTGTTTCCTTCGTGGAAAATTGTTGATGATAGCAGGTAATCCTGGTCCTCTGACATGAAAAAAGTTACGAGTTCCTAAAGATACATCAGCAAGTCACTATATAACGGCTTTTCATGCTGAATCCCTTAATACAGACTAGAAATCAGCCGCTACGTGTATATATAATTGAGCGAATTTGGATACAAATGCTCAAATTTTCATTTTCAGCGATTTGAATTCATAGTGACGCGTGGATTCGACATGAATGCTATGCTCCTCTAGCTGAACTATGNGTGGTGACATCAGGAGACCTTCCCCTTACCCTCACCTGGCTGTTGGACGGCCGCCCTCTACACCCTGACCCTGCCAGGCAACTCAGGCAACTCAGCGAGTACTCCTCAGTGAGTTGACTGAGAATACTAAATAAAAAATTAGTAATACATTTTATTGGAAGCATAAATTTATTCATATTACATTTGCGGTCGCCAGGTGCTGCTGTTCCAGAGACTGGCAGAGCGACACTCCGGCGACTACACCTGCCTGGCTACGAACGCGGCAGCGGCGGCCAATCATACCGCGACCCTGGCGGTTAAGGTGATTATTTGGCAGCTAAAGTGATTATTTGGCAGTTAAGGTGATTAATTGTTTGGTATTTTAAGTGATTATTTCGGACAGCCTAAGAGCAACAGCTATAAAGATTAATTCCTGGCCGACCATACCGCGACCCTGGCAGTTAAGGTGATTATTTGGCAGTTAAGGAGATTACTTGTTTAGGTGATTATTTCGGACAGCCTAAGAGCAACAGCTATAAAGATTAAACCTGGCCGACCATACGGCGACCTTGGCATTTAAGGAGATTATGACGGGGCAACCATAGAGAGACATACAGAGGTACATACGGAGTTCGCAGCATTCAATGTGACTACTGATGGCAGAATATACGACACTAATAACGCAGCGGTGGTCGGTATAATGCCTGACAGAATTTTTATGTATTTGCTCACAAAAGCTGATACTTCAGCTAGCGTCTTCGTTCGTTAGGAGTGAGCTACCACTGTTGTGGTTCATCATCAGAGAGTGGGTATTTAAAGTGTCGCCAAAATGAACTCAAAATTTCTCAAATTTGAAAATATGTCTTGCGAATAATGCGGTAGGTAAAGTAGATGAAATGGAACCAGAAAATATAACAATCTTCCAATTATATACATCAATTCTTCCGTAATTAAGGAGAAATATACACCACACTTAAGTTATATCCGAACAAATGTTTCAGGTGCCGCCGGTGTGGACGGAGGCGCCGCGGGGGGGTGAGGGGCGCGTGGGGGAGTCGCTGTCGCTGCCCTGCAGCGCCAGGGGCGTACCGCCTTTTTGAGATTTGAACTAAAATACCAAAAATTATTTATATTTCACGATGATTTTTTTCAGATTCGAGTCTCTGGCCAACGGGAGCCTGGCTGTGCGCTCTGTACAGCGTCAAGACGGCGGCCTCTACACCTGCACTAGCACTAGTGGAACTAGCACCACCCGCCTGCTAGTGACTAGTGAGATAACTGCTGTGTGGTGCACTAGTGGCACTAGCACCATACGCCTGCTAGTGACTAGTGAGATAACTGCTGTGTGGTGCACTAGTGGCACTAGCACCATTTCCAGCAATTAACTATTAATATATATACTGCTTGCTGCACCGAACTACGAAACTATGATTGAACTTCACCCTTGACTCACTAATTTATCATATTACTCCCCTTTACAACGTTCCCAAGATAAGATACACTTGTTTTATTCATATTTTGCAGTTCAATTGCTCATTTTCATGTGTGAATCTCTTCCTCATTTTCATGTATAATTTTTTTAGTCTAAATCTATTCCATCGTCTCTCTAGGACCCCCGAAGATCGAAGGCTTCAGGTTCCCCTCGGAGCAGACTGAGGGTAGCCGCAGTCAAGTGTCTTGTGTGGTGACATCAGGAGACCTTCCCCTCACCTTCACCTGGCTGCTGGACGGCCGACCTCTACACCCCGACCCTGCCAGGCAACTCAGGCAACTCAGCGAGTACTCTTCAGTGAGTAGACTGAGAATACTAAAAAAAATTATTAATACATTTTATTGGAAGCAAAAATTTGTTCATATTACATTTTCGGTCGCCAGGTGCTGCTGTTCCAGAGACTGGCAGAGCGACACTCCGGCGACTACACCTGCCTGGCTACGAACGCGGCAGCGGCGGCCAATCATACCGCGACCCTGGCGGTTAAGGTGATTATTTGGCAGCTAAAGTGATTATTTGGCAGTTAAGGTGATTAATTGTTTGGTATTTTAAGTGATTATTTCGGACAGCCTAAGAGCAACAGCTATAAAGATTAATTCCTGGCCGACCATACCGCGACCCTGGCAGTTAAGGTGATTATTTGGCAGTTAAGGAGATTACTTGTTTAGGTGATTATTTCGGACAGCCTAAGAGCAACAGCTATAAAGATTAAACCTGGCCGACCATACGGCGACCTTGGCATTTAAGGAGATTATGACGGGGCAACCATAGAGAGACATACAGAGGTACATACGGAGTTCGCAGCATTCAATGTGACTACTGATGGCAGAATATACGACACTAATAACGCAGCGGTGGTCGGTATAATGCCTGACAGAATTTTTATGTATTTGCTCACAAAAGCTGATACTTCAGCTAGCGTCTTCGTTCGTTAGGAGTGAGCTACCACTGTTGTGGTTCATCATCAGAGAGTGGGTATTTAAAGTGTCGCCAAAATGAACTCAAAATTTCTCAAATTTGAAAATATGTCTTGCGAATAATGCGGTAGGTAAAGTAGATGAAATGGAACCAGAAAATATAACAATCTTCCAATTATATACATCAATTCTTCCGTAATTAAGGAGAAATATACACCACACTTAAGTTATATCCGAACAAATGTTTCAGGTGCCGCCGGTGTGGACGGAGGCGCCGCGGGGGGGTGAGGGGCGCGTGGGGGAGTCGCTGTCGCTGCCCTGCAGCGCCAGGGGCGTACCGCCCCCCACCATCACCTGGAAGAGGGCGCTAGGTGGTTATTCTTATATAATAATCATTATGATTCTATCATACATCATTTATACATTTATTTTCTTATTTAATGTTTACACATCAAATTAATTCAGTGCACGACTATTTACAATTGACGAAAAGTAATATATTCAAGAAAATCAGTTAAAAATTAAACCGCTTCGTATCAGGATTTAATTCCTTATAATTATTTCTAAATGATGTTAATTATTCCAGGTCCCGAAGCAAAGGACTTCATATCTCTGAACGCTATAGTGACGTCATCCGGCATCCCTTATCACGAGCCGGTATCTGGGCATTACCAGTCCGGTAATGGGACCCTAGTGTTCCCACAGCTCAGTAAGCGGGACCAGGGGTGGTACCGGTGTGAGGCTTCCAACGGGGTTGGGGAGGACATTGGGGATGACGTACGGGTTACCGTGCACGGTGAGAGTGATAATCTTACCAATTATTGTTTTTTATATTCCATACAATAATATCAGTGTTATCAAGTGAGTGTTCATAATCTATTATTCGTTACCAAAAAACGCTAGAAAAGACAGATGAAATATATAGAAATAATGTCAACATTGGCCAATCTTTACAGTTCCGAATATAAATATGTATTTGCTTCCATATCGTTTCATTTATTCAACTAATATTACATCCGCTTCAAATGGTTCATTCTTGTCATATTTCAACATGGAATTCAACATTTATTTCATATATATTGCATATATGTCACATTTCATATTATTAAATGTAAAATAATCATCGCTCATCAGAAAATACTATTTTCCCCAGCTGGCGCTAAGGTGGTGTCGCCAGGTGGTCGGGTGACGTTGCAATGTTTCAACATGGAACGCAACATTTAATTATATTAATTAAATGTTAAATAATGACCGTTCATTTGTATATCTTATATCCCCAGCTGGCGCTAAGGTGGTGTCGCCAGGTGGTCGGGTGACGGGGCTCAGCGGCCAGGCGGTGACGCTGACCTGCCGAGGGGAGGGCGACCCTCCACTCTCCCTCCACTGGACCAGGGGGGGCGACCTCCCCTTGCCCTCAGCTTCCCGGTGAGTTCATTTATAGGCGCATTGTTCATTTAATATGAAGCTAGTACTTATCTTTGTTAATTTATACACATTTTAACTGCATAAAAATAATAATTAGTTACAGCTTCCCCCAGGCTCCGTTGCACCACAAACTAACATGCACTTCATCCCGCAGCTTCTCGGTGCAAGAGACCCTCATCCCCCCCGGGGAGCAGTTCACTGCTTCATCCCCCGACGGGGGTTATCCCTCAGCATTTCCCCCCGTCCCCGGTGGGGGAGTGTCCTCGGTGCTGCGGGTGTCGCGGGTGTCATCCCCCGACGGGGGCGAGTATCGCTGTACGGCCACCAACCCCCATTAAATAATGACCGTTCATTTGTATATCTTATATCCCCAGCTGGCGCTAAGGTGGTGTCGCCAGGTGGTCGGGTGACGGGGCTCAGCGGCCAGGCGGTGACGCTGACCTGCCGAGGGGAGGGCGACCCTCCCCTCTCCCTCCACTGGACCAGGGGGGGCGACCTCCCCTTGCCCTCAGGTTCCCGGTGAGTTCATTTATAGGCGCATTGTTCATTTAATTTGAAGCTAGTACCTATCTTTGTTAATCTATACACATTTCAACTTCATAAAAAGATAATAATTAGTTACAGCTTCCCCCAGGCTCCGGTGCACCACAAACTAACATGCACTTCATCCCGCAGCTTCTCGGTGCAAGAGACCCTCATCCCCCCTGGGGAGCAGTTCACTGCTGCATCCCCCGACGGGGGTTATCCCTCAGCATTTCCCCCCGTCCCCGGTGGGGGAGTGTCCTCGGTGCTGCGGGTGTCGCGGGTGTCATCCCCCGACGGGGGCGAGTATCGCTGTACGGCCACCAACCCCCACGGCTCCCACTCGGTCACCTACACTCTCGTCGTCCTCGGTACTGCTCAATTACTGCTCAATATTTGCAATAAATATCGTTATTTTTCAGAGAGAAATTAAAAAAGTTTTCCCAGAAGATAAGGTGGATTTTGCCTCTGGGATACAATGTTTTTCTCATTTGTCTTTATAAGTTCTATCTTCTTAATGTCTTAGAAGAATCTTCTGTCTCAACACTCCCTCCTCTAGCGCTGCAAGTGTGGCTTAAAAAGATCACGCGAATAGGAAGGTTTCATGGTCGATGTAGGATTAAGATTAGGATATGAAAACTTATCATAAGGGATGCTTTGAAACCATTTTAATTATTTCGACATTAATAACCATTATCTGTGTATCTTCGTTGTTCACTCCTAACAGTAGCGACTGCAGAGTTAAAAGCCGCCTTCTTGCCGTTAACAAACAGTAATGTTAACGCTACCACACGTCGCTTCGCAAGCTTTATTCCTGGTGCTCAATAGTGATAAATATAACCGCAATGAATGAACTTGATCAGGTTCATTATTTCATTTCTGTTGTCCACAGAGCCACCACAGCCACCGTCCGACGTGCGCGTGGCTGAGGTCACGAGCCACAGCGCCAAAATCACGTGGACTTTGCCACAGGCCGCCACAGTCTGGCTCCAGTACGACAGTAAGAATTATATTGCATTATTTCCTCAGGTCTTAACGGCAGCATTTCATCACTAAATCTGTCATTATATGAAGCACTTTGCAATTTATTCTTACTTTCATTTCATAATTAACAGATATGCATTGTGGAACTAACTTCATTCCACTCGCCTGTCAACATTCCACTCGCCTGTCTACATTCCACTCGCCTGTCAACACTCCACTCGCCTGTCTACATCTGTCTCCCCTGTTGCCAGTTGACGGGAGCGTTGACAGGGCCGGCGACGTCGCCTCAGCGGCAGCTGGCAACGTGAGCGCGTCGCCATGGCAACGGCAGGCAACGTTGACGTCACTCGTCGCCAGCGCGCGCTACTGCGTCGTCCTGCGCGCCGTCAACGAACTGGGCGCCTCGGACGCGGCGACGTACGATGATTTTTTTCAGATTCGAGTCTCTGGCCAACGGGAGCCTCGCTGTGCGCTCTGTGCAGCGTCAAGACGGCGGCCTCTACACCTGCACTAGCACTAGTGGAACTAGCACCACCCGCCTGCTAGTGACTAGTGAGATAACTGCTGCGTGGTGCACTAGTGGCACTAGCACCTTCCGCCTGCTAGTGACTAGTGAGATAGCTGCTGCGTGGTGCACTAGGGGCACTAGCACCATCCGCCTGCTAGTGACTAGTGAGATAACTGCTGTGTGGTGCACTAGTGGCACTAGCACCACGCGCCTGCTAGTGACTAGTGAGATAACTTCTTGTGTGGTGCACTATTGGCACTAGCACCAACCGCCTGCTAGTGACTAGTGAGATAACTGCTGTGTGGTGCACTAGTGGCACTAGCACCACCCGCCTGCTAGTGACTAGTGAGATAACTGCTGTGTGGTGCACTAGTGGCACTAGCACCACCTGCCTGCTAGTGACTAGCGAGATAACTGCTGTTTGGTGCACTAGTGGCACTTGCACCACCCGCCTGCTAGTGACCAGTGAGATAACTGTTGTGTTGTGCACTAGTGGCACTAGCACTACCCACCTGCTAGTGACCAGTGAGATAACTGCTGTGTGGTGCACTAGTGGAACTAGCACCATTTCCAGCAATTAAATAATGATATATATACTGTTTGCTGCACTGAACTACGAAACTATGTTTGTACTTCACCCTTGACTCACTTATTCATCCATCATATTACTCACCTTTACAACCTCGCCAAGATGCACTTTTTTATTCATATTTTGCAGTTCGTTTGCTCATTTTCATGTGTAATTTTTTTAGTCTAAATCTCTTCCATCTTCTCGCCAGGACCCCCAAAGATCGAAGGCTTCAGGTTCCCCTCGGAGCAGACTGAGGGTAGCCGCAGTCAAGTGTCTTGTGTGGTGACATCAGGAGACCTTCCCCTTACCCTCACCTGGCTGTTGGACGGCCGCCCTCTACACCCTGACCCTGCCAGGCAACTCAGGCAACTCAGCGAGTACTCCTCAGTGAGTTGACTGAGAATACTAAATAAAAAATTAGTAATACATTTTATTGGAAGTGTCGTGACGGGGGGCGACTTGCCCATGACGATGACATGGCTTAAGGACGGCGCCCCTCTCCAGCACGACCATGACAGAGTCGTCAAACAGATCAGCGAGTATTCTTCAGTGAGTCATGCCTGTATTTCTTCCTGAATATTTTCTGTACCTTTTTAGCAATCGAATTGAAAGTGTAATCTAACGATAAGGAGCGGATAAAAGGTGACTGCCATTTTAATATTTTAATTCTTCGGAATAATGAGTATTGTATCGTTTAGCTGTAATTTATTCAATAAGATGAAAGTAATTCTAAATAATATTTAAAAACGAATGAAATATTTATACCTGTATATTTTATGCAATAATATTGTAAACATTTAAAGTGTTAAATATCACATCTATGAACATGGTAGACGTACGTATCACATCTACGTAGAAGGTAGACGTATCACACCTGCGTAGAAGGTAGACATATCACATCTACGTAGAAGGTAGACGTATCACATCTGCGTAGAAGGTAGACGTATCACATCTGCGTAGAAGGTAGACATATCGCATCTACGTTTAAGGTAGACGTGTGACGTAAGCTAACGCGTTCTCGTCACGCCAGGTGCTGCTGTTCAAGAGACTGGCAGAGCGACACTCCGGCGACTACACCTGCCTGGCTACGAACGCGGCAGCGGCGGCCAACCATACCGCGACCCTGGCGGTTAAGGTGGTTATTTGGCAGTTAGACGTATCAGTTAAGGTGCTTATTTGGCAGTTAAGGGGAGCGTCTAGGTCCAAAATCGAAATTTTCGTCTTTTCCGGTTTTATGCTCATCGTAAAGTTTACATTCTGCCGCATCGAACAGTACGTACTAGAACCATCTCTCTTCATTTATGCGTTCACGACAGATCCCGAAAGGGAGGAGGGGGGTGGAGTCCCTTAACAAAAGTCAAGGGGGATAATTCCGGCCAGTCAGTTTTAAATGTGCTATCACTGGGCCTGCAGCTCAGTTACCATTCAGCCATCATGCGAGAAGGTGTTTATGTAGTCGTCCTATGGACCGCTGACTGACTTTGAAGAGAGATAACGCTTATTTTCGGTAACTAAGCTACGTTACATTCCATTACATAGCGCGCGGCAGTTTTTCGCCTCTACTGATAAATTTGAAAACTGAAAAACTCTCTCACGGCAAACCTATCTCCTGCTACAGTTTTGAAGCTACAACAATGAGACATATATCATTCGATGCGCAAAGAAAAGTTCTACAAAGTGGTTTATCTTGTTTTCTAATTTCGTTTTAGTTTGAATTTTATTCCGCTAAAAGGGTGGCTGGCGCTGGGCAAAATCGGAAATTTGTTTAAAAAATTTACAAAAATTCCCCCACCACCATAAAATGAAAAATTACAAAAACCACAAAAATCAGTTTTTAGATATGGTCTTTACGCATCGAATGATATGTATTTCGATGTCGTAGCTTGAAAATCCTAGGAGGATATATATTTCTACAGTACCCCCTTTTTGGCCGTTTGCTAAGAATTTCACGTTTTCTTTGTTTTGTTTCGAAAAATTTACACGAACAAAAAAGTCTTAGAATTCTGTTTTACATACGTGTATCAAATTACTAAGTGATCCGTACGTATATAACCGAGTTACAAAAACACCCAGACGCTCCCCTTAAAGAGATTATTACGGTGCAGAATAAGGACAACTCTTTTTGCTAAAATTACTTTTGGGGCGACCATACGGTGACCCTGACAGTTTGTTGGCGCTTTGGAAAATTTATTTTTTATGGCGCTCATCGACACGCGTCTCGTTGCGCTTCAAATATTGTTGAAAGTTTACCAATAAAATAAATTTGAACAGAAAAATTAAATATTATCGAAAGTTAAACTAAACGTTGTCAGGAGGACAAACATATGCAATAATGTACTCGGAATAATTGAAGAGGAACAAAGGTACAATAATTAACCACCGCAAAAATTAGCAGAGAAGAAAATTTAGGAATTTACATGCTAGATAATCTTCAGCAAAATTACTATAATAAACCAGTTTACGGATAAAAAAAATTATTTCTATTAAGGATATGTTACTGTCGTAATTTAAATATAATGATATAATATATAAATATAATGTACATTTTATAATGTTGATATTATTATGATAATATCAATATGCTAATAATATGTTGATTTTATTATGTTAATATAAATATGTTAATAAGGTTGGGGAGTCGCTGTCGCTGCCCTGCAGCGCCAGGGGCGTACCGCCCCCCACCATCACCTGGAAGAGGGCGCTAGGTTCTTATTCTTATATGATAATATTATCATTGTTTTTGAAATGCGTTAATTATAAGCTCGTCATTTATAATTCGGTATTTATTTAATGAGCGCTAGGTGGTTATTGTTATATGATTATATTATTGTTATTGAAAAGCGTCAATTATAAGCATTCAATATAATTATAATTATATAATAATTATAATCATTTATAATTCGATATTCATTTAATGACTATATAATTATTAATGATAATTTCAAATCCAATATCTTATGAAATTATTGACATGTTTGACATCAAACGTCAACATCATTAAAATATTTTCATTCGATAATCCACTCTGTTCATTTTCGTATAAAATATTTCGGAATGCGTGCATAAACTATTGATTATTCATGTATTTTCTTTATAGTAAAAGAATTTAGTAGTGACATTTTAATAACACAAATTTGAGTTACAAGTAATTTAAAACTTCTTCTTAAAAATTTAAATTCTGTATATATTTCGCAAAAAAAAAAAATTTTTTTTGAATTCCATCAATGGGAAGACTCATTCAACTTGCATCTATTCGGCTTTCATGTACTATTAAGTAAATGTCTATCACATGCGCGCAGCTAGCTTACATTGAATGCTTCCTTGGCTCATATAAATATCCTATACGTGTTCTTAAATCGACTTTTATGGCAATTTACTTAACAATACTATTAACAAAATAATCTATGTTCATTTCACTTTTTGATAACGAAGAATTGTTATTCTTGTTAGTATAATTTTAATTTATTAACACGTTCCTACTATTCCCACGATCAAAAGGTTTCTAAAGAATATTCAAAATTAATTAACAAGAAATATAAATAGTAAATAAAGGAGAAATTAACAAAAAATGAGTCACCATGAAATTTTTTCGTCAAGTTTTTCCCGTAATTCGAAGAGAATATCATTGAAATAAACTTCATTGAAATACCTAATACTTAAAATACTCTTATCATTAGTGACTCTCATCATATTGATGATGATGATATTCACACTTCGTTTTTATTTGTTCAGGTGCAGAACCTAAGAACTTCCAGCTTCTGCACGTGCCTGCAGTGGCACAGGGTTCGTCTATAAGGTATAATAGAATAATATAATATTATACCTTATACACGGTATAATATACCTTATTATACTTTACTATATAAAGGTTCGTCTATAAGGTGAAGGGTGCTAATAACATGCAGTTGAACTGGCAACTTCTACAATACGACGAAGAGTAACGAAAATTTCAATTTATTTCAATAGTTTCAACTAACTAATCTGATGATGACGAGTAACGAATCTGATGATTTCAGCTAATAATTTTTAGTTCGTGGAATTTGCAAGCAGGTAGTACAACTTCACTATTTCGATGTATAAAACTCAGTAAATTGGGCGAGTGAAACCTGACGAACACGTTTAATTCATGACATTTATCATTGCGTAAAAATATTACAACGAAATAAAAGCCCTTTTATGCCATCTTCGAACGCTCCGTAACTTTCAGGAAAATGTACGTAACGTTAATCTGCAGGAAAATTTACGTTATAGACCAAGAACTATACAGAAAATTTCGCACATCTTTCACTTATTTATTTTGCACTGTAANGGGCTGGTACTTGTGTCAGGCTGACAACGGCGTCCTGGAGCCTATTGCTGACTACGTCAGGCTAGTGGTTCATGGTAGGTTGATGTTGTCAGAGGGGGTTAGGTGGTAGTTGTGAGGGGGACTAAATTAGGGGGTATTTTTGAGAGGGACTAAGGTAAGTGACAATTGTGAGGGGGGATTATAGTAGGTGACGGTTTTGACTTGGAATAAGTTAGGTGACGGCTGTGAGGGGGAATAAGTTAGGGGTGTGTTTTTGAGAGGGACAATGTAAAGTGACGGTTGTGAGGGAGACTAAATTAGGTGGCGTTTCGTTTGTGAGAGGGACAATGTAAGGAGACATTATTGTGAGGGGGGATTAAATTAAGTGGTAGTTGGGAGGGGGACAAAGTTAGGAGGCGCTGATGAAGGGAAACATAACACCTGACATTGGTGAATTGTGTTTCATATTCAATTTTGTCGAGCGATCTTATAATTATATTAATGTGACGAAGTCTTATATATCAAAGTCCTATAATAAAGTCTTTTTATGTCCTTAGAATTAGGAGTAAAGCTTTGTAATGTAATTTAAATTGGCTCAAAAGAGTACAACAATTATAGTAATTAATCTTGCTATAATTCGAAATGAAGCGGAAAAAGTTCAATGAAAAAAACGGTTTTCCCGATATATTATCAGATAGGAACATATTGGCAAAATCTGAATCTTTCAACAACTCAAGTATCGTTGTTGTATCAACAACACTTAAGTATCAACAACTTAAGTATTTATTTTCCCCAGCTGGTGCTAAGGTGGTGTCGCCAGCTGGTCGGGTGACGTTGCAATGTTTCAACATGGAACGCAACATTTAATTATATTAATTAAATGTTAAATAATGACCGTTCATTTGTATATGTTATATCTCCAGCTGGCGCTAAGGTGGTGTCGCCAGCTGGTCGGGTGACGTTGCAATGTTTCAACATGCAACGCAATATTTAATAATATTAATTGAATGTTAAATAATGACCGTTCATTTGTATATCTTATATCCCCAGCTGGCGCTAAGGTGGTGTCGCCAG